GGAGAAGTTTGAAAAAAGTACCGCAGGGTCTTTTTTGACCACCGCATTTCGCTGAAAGCATTACTAGACGAATACGGGACTCACACATCTTCCCGACAGAAGATGGAATCGATCACGATGAGATTCTACGCCAATCTCTTCCACTCATCAACAGTGTCAAACCATGTTATTTCCAGGGCAAATACCACCGAGGATTTTACCTGCTGAAGTACGAGCCGCAATCCAGACTATGAAGGCAGCCACGGCTCCAGGACCGGGCCATGTTTCGGCCGACCTCCTAGTAGGACATCGCCTACACGTGATACTTGCGGAACACCTAACGTCCTACCTTCAAAAGGAAAGGTCCAACCAGAGGAGAGCCTCCCGAGCCATCCTTTTTTATAAGAAGGGCGATAGGGAGGATTATCGGAACTACCGTCCTATATCTGCTAAGTGTGCTTTACAAGTTCTTTATGAAGATTATTCTCGCTCGCATACCAAGGAAACTGGATGAAAACCTGTAGAACAAGCTGGATTTCACAAGGGATTTAGCTGCTTGGATATCCAGACAGTCGAGGAGTATCGAGGTTGCCGGGAGTACCGCCTATCTTTCGCCCTACCTTCGTCGACTATGAGAACGTTTGACGGCATCGAGAGTAATGCCATACTGTCAGCGCTCGTCGACCAGCTGGTGGACCCATCATAAGTGAGGATATGGGCAACTGCTACAAGAACTGCTCTATAACGGTGCAGCTTTTTCATCGCCCCCTCAACATACCAAATTCGAAGGGGGTTCGGGAAGGCAACGAAGCTGTTTACCGCCGCCATGCAGTGAGTGATGAAATCACTGGAATGGAACGAAAGAGGTATACGAGTTAATGGGAGATTCCTCTCGAGCTTTCGTTTTGCGGACGACTGCTCTCTTCTCGAGGAATATCAGTGAAGCGGAGAGATTTTGAAAGAACTGAATGAATTAGGAAAGCGATAGGACTACGAATCACAGAAGAAGGCAGTTGAACAACGCTTTTTGAGAAGATCAGGAAATGGAAATGGAAGGCTCTTTAATCGCGGAGACGTCTTCTTACGTATATCTCCTCCGTTCGATAAACATGAACGATCTGAAAGAAGAACTAAGCAGAAGACGAGAAGCTATTCGATGCAACCATTCTCCCTGTGCTTTTTTACGCAGTAAAGACATGGTCTGACGCTGCGGCTACGTCGAAGGCACTACGAACAACCCATAGAGCTGGAACGACCTCTTCTGAAGACATCGACCAAAAGCAAAAAGTCCTTCAGGGAGGCCATCGACCAGATGGGCTGTTCGTCGCACGGATGGACCAGCTCGATTCCCAGCTGGTGAGTAATCGTTCTGGACCT